ACTAGGAATGACCTTAGGTTTGGATGACTGGTTACGAATATGAATGTATGATACAATACCATGTACATTTTTCTACATAATTATAAGATCAAAATTGTATACGTGTTAAGTTGCGGTTACTATACCTTACTGGTATTCTTGTTGATACGGTGCATATCAAATGATTTGCCTATCGTTGAATATAACCTACGTTTTCGTTTGAATAAATATTTACTTATTATTCCTAGTTGAGGTTAAATTACAAAAATATATCACGAATTATTAATAAAAACATTTCTATTATTCGATCATATATTGTTTATGTATTGATATGCTTAAACTTTAATGATGGTGTAGTCGTTTAATTATTATAAACAAGTTTTGAAGTCGTGTCAATGGAGTGTGGACACCCTTCAAACAAGCTGTCACGTACTCATGTCCGTTCATATTACTTACTGTGTTTAGCGATATAGATTTTAAAATATATTCTCTTTCTTAATAATAATAATAATTTAAATGAAACTTTAAACAAAAATAACATTTTACAGTAAATCAAATATTAAATTCTTCGCCATCCGAGCTTGTTTTGCTTATCTCATTTTTCGTCTTCGCCATATTTTCAACTAATTAAAAAAAATCTAATCATAGTCGAAAAGGCACTATAACACTATAATGGTTAAGCTGGATTTTTAATAAGATTAAAAAGCAATTTTAATCCTTATACGAATTTAGTTTTAATAAAATAATTTAATACTTAAGAAAAAACGTTTTTAAGACAAAAGTCACTGTTTTTTTTTCGTTGAAGTATGTAGGTACATGGTTTTTTTTTACATATTTACGTGCACAGTAATATATTTATTGAAATAAAATGTTCTATGATTTTATAGTTGGTATAATAATATGGTATACTATTACTCTGTTAGCATTATTTTTATTCAGGGCAAAATAGAATTATACGACATTCAATTTGATGTATCACTTATGAAAATACTCGGTGAAATACTCGTATTACAAAATGTTTATTTTTTATGAGGAGGCACTAAAACCCTTTTATTGCCTATGCGCAGGCTGCATGGGTAAGCAAATTAAAATATTCCATCTGAAATTGAATGCTTGCGAGACACGAATGATGTAAAATAATAATGCGAAGATAAACAAGATTTGATTAAATACAGCCAAATAATGATAATTTATTGATGAACGATGAATTTTGTGTTTCGATTTTTATGAAAATGTTACGGTTTAGAATGAGTAACGTATACCTTGTAGTAATCGCATACCTTGGGATTTAGGGAATAAGCACTCTATCACAAAAATCATTTAGGCGACAAACAAATCGAGTGTCATGTCAAAAAATGTAATTGATGCGGAAATTATTTCAATACACGAAGTAGAGTCAACGTTTTTAAATAAACAACACACAATATGCAACTCAAAAACATTCATTAAGTTTAGGGTAAATGGAATAGAAATTCTATGAATATGATTACTAGGAGGAAATTAATACAAATAACCTGTAAGTTGTAACTCGCTGAATATAAAAGAGTACATTTATTTCAACATTTATATTTGTGTTATTTTGACTAACTTGCAGTGCACATAATATTATTTTCCTAGTGTTATACTACGCTTATATTTATATATATATATATATATGCTAAGTTAAATTAATGATTTGTAAAATATAACGATATGAATTTCGTATTTGTCAACAAAGTTGCATTTCAAACAGAACGTTTATCTATCTCGAAACCTATTGGTAACCTAATACCTAGGTAACGACGAGTTGCATTTATTAAATTGAAAACTTGTTATATTTAATCAAAATAAGTTTTACAAAAATTGTAAGTATTCATTTTAACTGTACATGTAGGCATGTAGCTGGATCTGAGTGTCGGTTTAATATCATATTTAGATTGGAAATTGAAAATTGTGTGTCATATAATTTTTAATTTTTAGTTTTTTTTTTTAGTAGCTACTGTACACCGTTGTTTAATATTTTTAAAGCTATAGTAGTACCTATGAATCTATTTGAGTTTCAGTATATACTATGAAGTTAAAAACGAATTCAAATTTTAAGTTATTTCTACAAGCATTTAACATTCGCATGCCCGTGTTACAATAGCATTAATCAATAATTATAAACGAGACAATTTATGAAATGATTATGTACGTCAAAAATTGGGCACGTGTTTGGAAGTATTTGGAATTTGGATAATGTATTGATTTAAGTGATGCAAGTATTAAAACAATTTTTATTGACATTCGAAATGTATCAAACATTAAAACTCTTCAATACGGTTATTACGAATTTTATGTACTTACCTACTCACATAAACCTTTTTTTAATATCAACACTACGTGTATGCTTTTATATTAATTAAGTAAACAAACGTACATATTATTATAGACATCGGCATGCGGTTTATTGAAGTCGTCTCGCACCACTCACTTCAGCGTGACGTGTATTCGCTATTATTTATTTAATAATTTAAGTCTGGACGTTCTAATGAATTTTCACATTAGGAGTACTTTTCTGAGTATAGCTTGGCTATGGTGTTTGTTTTATTATAAATACATTTTTAAAAGATTTTTTTTCAAGTATAAAACTATAAGGTCATGGTCTCAAACCCAGAAGGTGCTAGTTTGAATTTTATTTTTATATCCACTTCTTTTCTCATACAATATGCACATAGGTTTAGTTATCAAAGCTCTATAGTTCAAGCTCAGGAACAGCCGAGTAGATGCATTATAAAAAAAAAGTTATTCGAGAGCGAAAAGGTTCTAAATCAATACCATTTACAAAATATGTATTATTTTATAAGGACGATTTAATTAGAAACTTTCGGTTCTTTTTACTATCTACACGACAAAAATAAATTGATAATAAAATAGCTCGATATTCATTGTGTGAACTACAAAATAATAATATGATATTTGTACAATACTATTAATTATATTGTACATTTATAAACAAAATAAAAAAATTCTGTAAATAAATGTACCACCACATTATTTGATTTGTAACATCAGGTCACAACTTCTTCTGTTTCACCCAATTTCGTTTTCCAAGAAACATCAATTTATAGAAACATGGAACAAAAAAGTTCTAATTAAGTGAAAACAGTATGGTATACACACCAATAAAATGTATTCTATTCTTGTAACTTATAGGTTCTTAATTGAAATTTTTTACATCATATTTTATTTCGTCAAGTCACCCTAAAAAATCCAAATTACAAGACTAACGAAGAAAACATTTTTAAATTTTAGATTTGACAGTCATGAAAAATCATTCATTAATTTTAGTTCTGAGCTATAGCGAAGCAATTTAATTAATGTTATGATACTAAAATTGCATGTAATTTTCAAAATAAATGTATCTACTTACTAATTGCGAGAATACATTTGTCGTTGAATTAATATGTGTGTAATGCAATGAACACAAAAGTTACTGCGGCGAGGTACCATAATTTGTGTACTGCTGTGTTTAATTACTAATTAGTACTTGTCTTATAAGTATAAGCTTAATAATTCTATCTGTGTCTCTGGAGCGCAGTAGTTCAGGGATCGGGTTTTTGATGCAAGTAGACCGCCAGATGTATAGGTACTTATAGGTAAGTCTCTTTTCCAGATGAACTCATTTATAGTTTTCATACGTAACCCAATTTCTAAATACTAAATGAACTTACTATTTGGACGGCGCATGCGTATGAAAAGAGTGTTGCAATATCAATTTGTTCAAAATGTATTTTCGTTAATTTCCATATACCGAGTCGATATGAAGACCAAAATATGTGACTTTTAATGTGACGGTATTTTGAACAATCACGTTTCACGGTTAACCACGGCTGTCGAGTGGATTGTTTTGATCACTCTGCTGCCGAAGATCGGCGACGAGTTAGAAGAACAGATGCCACTTGGGTGAAAATATGCGATCATAATAATATAATTTACATATAATATCTATATTATACTGCAGGGTACCTATAGTAATATAGCGCGGCAATAACGCGTGACATTATCTTTAATGCCGAAAATAACTGTGATCAAAAATTGTTTTCATAAAAACGGTTTTAATGCCTTGATTACTTTTACGATGTCCAATTAAATTGGCTGCTGATTCATTGAATAGTGAGCGGGTGTGCATTAGTTTTGTTTCACCGCTGCTTCGTCGGCGGAAACCTTTCCACTAAATGCAATGGAAAGCAATTTACTTTTACGGTCGTTTACGTTATTCGGTGCTATAGCACGAGAAAAACGTTGACATCTAATTTCACAGCCAACGCGTTTTCAAAAAGCTTATTTGAGTGGTATTTGCAAAAAAACCAATGAGCTCAAAAACCCATACCACTACTATACTCCAACGACTACTACTACTGCTGCTACTACTACTACTACTATACTACTATGTCCGGGCCGCTAAAATAATGGAATTTTTTAACATTGAGATGTAGGTATACATGTAGAAAAAAATGCATTCGTTAACCTATATACAAACATTACTTTTAATCTATACACATAAATATATTATGTGTATATATATACATAGCCTCTTCGTTTTAACATAATATTTGTATTCAAACATGTTCTCCCTAATGATAGCTTATCGTGGTTTATATTATACCCTATAGGTTTTTTTTGCAACTATAGTATGATTCAAAATTTTATGATATTATATTAGTGTAATCCGTTAGGTGTCTAGGAGTATATTAGGCATCAATGGTGGGCAAGTTAATGAAAATAATTTACTGTGGAAAGTTAAATTAATTCAATTAAATTGCCTTCAGTTGAGTTAAATGTTAACAAAGAAAAAAAATTTAACTAGATAAGTTTAAAGTTGAGATTGAAAATAAAATTAACTTATCTCAGTTGAAAAAAAAGTTGATTTTTTTTGAAGGTACAATATTTTTAAGTCATATAAAGTTTACACTAGTTTGTCGCGTATTACCGTGGTGTGTGTCGCCAAATTAGCTTACCTTGCTGATATTTTTCAAAAACTAAATGTTTTAAATTCGAGTATGCAAGGTCGTAAAGAAAACATAATTTCAACAAGTGATAAAATGGAAAGTTTCAAAAAAAAAATTAATTTATGGTTATCATGCATAAAAAATGATGATTTTTCATGCTTTTCTTCAGTTGAAGAATCAAAAATCCATTTAAGCATAAATCAAAAAACGGAATTAAAAAATATAATGTACGAACATTTATTGACACTTTCTCGAAATTTAAAGAGTTATTTTCCATCACTTCTAACAACTGAAATACAGTGGGTAGTTTCATTATATGGTCCATGTGGAGAAGAAAATATAAAAAATGCAAACTTATCTTCTACGGAAAAAGAACAATTACTAGAAATATCATCAGATACCACGTTAAAATCTAAATTTTATATGTCTGAAAATGATTCATTTTGGATTTCTTTGCAAAACGAATACCCAGAAGTGAGCAAAAAAGCGTTGCAAATTTTGCTTCCTTTTTCAACATCATATATGTGTGAATCAGCATTTTCGATATTAGAAGTAACAAAAACCAAAAAAAGGTCAACGCTTAAAGATATTGAAAGTGAATTACGCGTAAGTTTGTCAACAATTCGCCCACGAATTGAAGACCTATGTTCAATTCGCCAATCACAAGTATCGCACTAATCTCCATTATAAACTAACGCTGTTTTTATAATAATATTTTTTTAATAAATAATTTAAATTGTTTATATTTTAATAATGTAAATTTAAAAGATTTGTTTTTTTTTCAAATAAAATGCTAACATGAACTTAAATGTATTAATTTACATAGATTTGTAATTTTTACTTTTTCAAAAATCCATAAAAAAAATTTTAAGTGTGTCGCCATTTTTATGGATCTAAATTAAGGTGTCGTCGTACAAAAAAGGTTGAGAACCACTGATATAAACCACCATAGTATATTGTTATACACAAACATTTAACAAGATATTTAACACTGTGTAAAAAATTAGATTATTATAATATATAATTCGAAAATAAATTACCAAAATTGTAAAAAAATTGACGAATCAGTATTGCCTAGTTGAGTACGCGCATGACTTGAAAATAAAATTAACTCAACTGTATGACAATGACTATTAATTATAAAAAGTTAAGTTACAGCAGTAAAAATTTTAACTGAGTAAGTAATAATTTAAAAACAAAAATAATAAACTAGTTAAGTTAAAAAGTTAAAAAAAATTAACTTTTTAACTTAACTTTAACTTTTTAACAAGTTAATGCCCACCTTTGTTAGGCATATATATAATATACCTAGGTAGATACCTTAATACCTATATCAACTGTTTTGAATTATTCATAATACCCATTTTTTTAATTCAATCTTAGTTTGAGTAGTTTCATAATATTATCAACAAAAATTAAAAGATTATTCTTACATCTTAATCCTTTCTCTCTCTTTCGAGAAGAATCTGCAGACTCTTCAAAATTACGCTTTAATAACGTTTTATAAAACGGTGGATATCAAATTCGGAAATATATATCAGTTCTACACAATTACTTTGAATATTATAAAAATACAATTTACATATTAAACATATTTTCAACGTTCATCTTTCATACTTTATTTCGACTCGTGTAGTGCAGTACTTTACTCAATATTCAGTACGTATACTCACCAGCTATCATAACAATAATAATTACTATTGCTATTTTTCTCTTGAAATGCCCTTATACAATGTTGCCCTTTAGTAAATAGATCAATAAATTCTAATATTAATCTTAAGCCTTAGTTTTGAGACCAACCAAACTTTTTATTGCTTTGGTACGCGTAAAAAAAATACAACAAATCTTAGTGTAGCCTCCTCCTACTAATAGAGCAAAGAGGGGGACTTGATTTATGTATTATATTGGGGTTAAAGTTAGTTCCATTATACGCTAGATAATGCACTATTTGGTTTCCAATAGTTTTAGATTCTGAGTGGAACGATGAATGTATTGATTTTACAATGATGTGTATTTTATTTTTTATTTTATTTTATTTTATTTGTGTCTGTGTACACGATAAGTAGTCGAAATAATGCTTCGATTTTCAACTTCAGTACCTTGTTCGATTGGAGAGTAAATATCGTTGGTACTTGGGGAGGTCAAAATTTTAAATTTCCAGTAATTATGAAAAGCGCCAAGAAAAACTAAGGAAAAACAGGAATTTTTACGCAATATTGAATTTGGTTTTTGGTGTAATTTTAAAACAAATGACCGTAGATACATGAAATTTTCACTTGTTGTTTATATTTGCATTTTCTATACACGATAACATTTTCGAAATATTTAAATCAAAGATTTTAAAATTGAATACAAGATTCCTTATAAGATTATCTACCTTTTTCAAAAAAAAAAAAATGTCTATAAGAAACTCAAATTAAATTTTTATGAGCGTTTGAAATTCAAATTTTTACAACATTGGATATTCACTCGATTTCTCATATAGAAATTTCCTTATTTTGTTGTAATTCAAAAACGAAAAACTGTAGATACATGGAAATTTCACTGAATGTTTATATTAGCATTTCCTATACACCATACAATTTGAAAATATTTTGACTCTTTTTGAGCTGTTTACAGACATTTACTGTTTTCAATTTTTTTTAGTTTTTTTTAGTTTTTTTTTCGATAAATATCAATTAAGTTTTATCTGTTGGGCCAAAAAGTGTAAAAAGTTACCTTAGACCGCAAGTCAGCTTCTACCTTTTGCAACCGTAGCAAAGACGACGAGACTTCGGATAACGATGTCTCAATCGTCTCTACTGCAGGGGCTGCTGCAGGTGTCATCGACGTAGCAATAGACGTTCCGGTACACGGTGAATCGATGGTAACTGCAGGCAACTGACGGCCATCCGATTTCGGGTGCATCGCCACTGCAATTTGCACCCACGGCCATATTGGGCAATGACACAGGGGATCTCTTGCAGTGCACCGGAAGACTATGGAAATCGCAGTTTTCCAAATGTTTCTATCCATTTCCCCCGCGGATATCGTCGACAGCCGGCAGTATTATACTGGGAGTAGACTTGCACCCTGTCTCTAGTATAGTGCTTCAGCTGCAGAATTTTTCAGCAAGACCATGTTAGGACACGACACAGCCCTTTCGTGCACCGGCAAACTAGCTAGGGAAATCGCCGATTTCCGACGGCTTCTGTTTACTTTCCTGGATACTGTCGACAGCGGGTAGGTTAGGCATTGATTTCCATCAGAACTCCGTTACTTTGTGGCTGCAAAATTTGTCCACACGGCCATGTTAGGTAAAGACAATTTCAAGACATAAACCGTCTGTGAACCGGGAAGCTATTGAAATCGCAACCATCTATCGGTTTCGGTCTGTTCGACCGAAGATCGTCAAACACCATTTGCATAATTTCGTTCTCGGACAGTTACTGGTTAACGGACGAAGCTGCACTATCTGACATGTTGGTTTTATGATAAACGTCGAATAAACAGATTATAAATTATAATATGAAAACACGATTTATAACTTATAGACGAAAGCAGGTAAATGTATTCGTAATGTCCGCAAGACGTAACAAATTAATACTGGCGAGTAATTACTGTGACACAGAAACGAATAATACATTTTCCAAACACTTATGCACTTGGCAACAAGATGTTTGTTGATTTTGTAAAACTGAATGTATCTTTTTTTTTACATTATATATGTACACGTGTACAACAATTATTTATTAAATTCTTATTTTTATTTTTTAGTTATACTGCTGGGGTACAAAACTAAAAGTTATTTTATTTTTTAAATGAAACCTATATCATTTTTAAATGAATGGATATTTGGTATGTATAGTAGGTATATGCGGAGAAAAAACCAAAATGATAATATAATCAATATTTTTATGAAATATCTTTTTTGCTTTATTCTAAATGTCTTTGTAATAAATTGGACAAAGCTGAGCACCAACTAGTTAATAGCTAAAGCTTTAATTCATATTAACTTAGTTACTTAATTAGTTGAATTTAATGTGTAAAATAATCTAATCTAACTCGTTAAAAATAATGAGTAACTATAGTTATTTATGTACCTAGTTTATTTTTTCATTTATTGAATGATTCAATTTCTTATTTTATTGTATTCTATTATTCTAATGACTGATATTCCAAGAAATTAAGGTTATTGTCTACCTATTTGATAAATTTCATCAAATTATCAGTTGACAGTTGTTTAATTTCATTTTTCATTCATCAATCATCACCAATAATTCAAGTTATAGTTAACTACCTAGCTACACAATAGTTAATTTTTATAATGCATTGATGCACGGCGGGTCACCATAGATATTATATACTATTTTGAAATGTTAAAAACGCTGTATTATTTTAGTAATCGCTAAAAATTATTCTCAATACTCATATAATGCGCTTCGAACAAAAATTATCTGAACCTATTGGAAAATTGTTATAAAGTGTGAGTGAAGTTTTCAATGGGTATTTAATCATCATTTAAATATTTGCGCTGGTTAAAACTTTACACCGCCGGTGATTAGTAAAAGTTCGTGCACACTGCGGCAGTCGATATATTTTTTTGTACAGCCATTATATATTATAACAGCTGATATAAGTATAATACATGTTGCAGATCGACGGTATTAAATGGTTACACGTGGTATGAGCAATTGGAAAAACGAAAGATTAAATCGAAAAGACAGAGTTTATGACTTAATAAATCAGGTAGGTACACGAGAATATTAGGAGGTGTACAAAAACCCGAGTTTAGGTGGAGGTAGGGCGAAAGGCGGAGATATGGCAAAGAAAATGTATACATTGTATATAGAGACGAGAAAGAAGAACAGAACGGCACCGATAAATTTAAGTAATAAGGACAGTCAAAAATATAATGGCAAAAATCACAATGTATCACGGATTTACGTTTATTGATATATGATACGCTGAGGTGGAAACGGAAATAGTAAATAGGATGGAGCAGATCGAGACGGAGATGGGATAGAGAAATATCGTCGAGTTTGGAGAGGCATTGGTCGAGATTCCGGAACTGAGAAAAGTTTGAAATGGAAGGGAATATAAATCTCCGGTCAGGTGACGAAGTTGGCGGGAAAAGTGACAGTGTGGAGAGGGCTGAGGAAACCCTAGCCTACTTTAAGGTTTTACAATGAGCGGCGTGAAAAGAAAAACTAAAAATCATCGTACATTACGCCCATTTTTATCAACTATTGAACTGCAAGACTTTAAATTTATCATCAAACTCATCAACTACTGTCAATAAGCGTAGAAAACTAAAAAATTGAACAAAAAACCTGTATAAACCCTTTATTTTATTTTTATATTAGCATTAATATGTATAAGTGTTACTTTAAACCTGTATCGCTTTAATGTAAGTGGGTAAAATCCATACAATTTATGAGAGGTATTTATTTTTTTTTTTTTTTTGAAATATCGTGGGAAAATTTTGAACCTGAAAATATGAATTTAAAACTTTGTGCAACCATGTAACTAGCGGAAAATTATGTGTGACTATATTATATTATGCAGTCCGGAAAACTCAAGCTCTTATAAAAATTACACTTGAAAATTACTTCCAATAGATGGAAAATAGTAAAATTGTGTACATGCATTATATTAAAATGTATAATGGGTTTTGTAATATTATCAGAAAATAAATA